CTCTTGTCAATTCTGCAGATACTTATCCGATTTATTCTGAATAAGTTATTTGCTGTAAGCAAATTGTTTATTCTGACTGATGTGAAGACTTCCTCTTTGACACAGGAAGAAATAAAAAAGCCATGTGAAATGAGATGTGTGCTAGTTAGGATTTTTGTGGACTCTCAGTAGTGATATATAAATGTCGAGTAGAGGTGACCATATAAAAGTAGATTCTTGTTTAACTCAATGAAGATCATGATTTTGAAAAGAGATGGAATCTAGTGTCCGCAAATAGGATTGTTAATACTTAGATTTATGAACAGATTAGTTTACTCAAATAGTCGTTTTTTTGGCAATATTTGTTAAAGTTCTATCATGTTTTGCTGTTTGCTTACCTTGTTTTTTCATCATCATTTCAGTTATGGTGCACTTTTAAATTTACTATTTATAAATTAAGGTATATTTGAAATAGTTTTTCAAATTTAATTGAGAAATTACTAATAAAAGATGTCATCAAACAGATCATCTTTTTAAAATTTATTTTATTCTGAGGGAAGTCTAGAAGTAAGAACAAGGAAGGAGAAATCATGTGATTGTATTTAGTTATTTTTTTTAGCTTTTTTCCCATATTAATAAATAATTGGCTGTACAAAAGCCCCAGAGTTCCACAAAAAACTGATACATGCACCTGGACCCAGGTAACTCCAGGTGAAGCTATGGAAGCATATCTCACATCTCTCTGGAATAACAAAAAAGTTATGAAGCAGGATCTTCACACTATGCTTATACCAGCTGCAGGTTGCCAGGACATTTAGCGTAATTTTGCTAAACCTGAAACCAGGTGAGCCTGTCTGAGTTCAACATCAAGTCTGTTTCTGAAAGTAATGCACAAACAAAATGATGGTGATCCCTATAATATAATTCACTAAGTCTCAAAAATGGTTACTAGCAAGAATTACATCAGAAAATTTTCTTTTTTTCTGCATCTTTTGAACTGTTACAGCCTGGCATACAAAGCAGGAAGACATCTTTCTAATGGCTGCTCATCTTGTTGCATGTTTGTGAAAAGTTGATCTTTTATATGCAAGGCATGCTTGGAAAGATTACACAGGGACTATGAAAGCATGATTTCTACTTTAAATACCTTTAGAAAGTTGACAAGTGTTAATTGACCATAGGGAGAAGCTGAGCTGGAAGAAGCAGGCTGGACCTTGATAGTTCCCCAATGAATGGTGAGTGAGAGAGGAGGGAGAAGCAAATGCAACCATGCATGGATTTCATTCACCTTATTAAAAAAGTATAATATGAAAAAGACCACCTGTACTGATTATGTGAATTTCTTTCTTTGTAGAGGTGGAATCCCAGACCTCATTAAGCCTGAGGGACACAAAATAGCAAACTATAGCAAAACTGGACCAAAGCATCCTGAAAGCATTTATAATCAAAGTGTACAAATTTAAAAGGCTTCTTTTGTTTTTAAATCAGATATTATTACCTTGCAAAGCTATGCAGTAGATTAGACACCTAACTGAACCTGCTGTCCTCATTTGCTAGAGGATTCAAAAACGTTTTCTGTTGTTTTATTTTACCTTCAAAATTAAAAAGTAGCCATGACAACTCACTAACAGCTAAACAAATAGCAGGGTAGGAAATCTCTACTTCAGTCCAAACCCTAAGGGCAAAACCAAAAAAGTGTTTCTGAAAGGAAGTCTGTGAAGATTGGTGTGAGAACAGAAGTCATTTTAATTCAAGTTCTTGTGAGAAATTGTTCTAATGAGGAAAATTGTCATGATGGAGATGTGTAATATTGAAACTGAATTAAACAAAAACTGAAGGAAAGAAGGCATTCATTGGCAAAACAAGGGGAAGAGTAGCCTTTTAATAAAGTATATGGGGTTTTTTCTTTTCTTTCTTTGTTTTTTAACATGATTCCTAGGAACAAGTCTGACTGCTTCAGGGGAAAAAAAGGAAGACAAACAATATGGGAAGATGCATTTGCAAGTGATGGCTTTGTCCATTTTTATTTTTTATTGTAAAAGTACCAACTGATGTTTGGGCTCTCAAATGTGTTGAATGGGACTACATGACATTTTTTTGCAAATCCCAAATTGTCACACTCATCTGACTGTTCCCTGCTTAGAATCTCGGGAATTGACAAGACGAAGAGATCATCTCTCGAACTTCCCTAACCCTAGTCTTCCTATAACCTCACTCTTACCATTGGCTCTTGTCCCTGCTTGCCTTGCAATATTTGTTGCAGACAATACTGTCTTGAAAGCAGTGATTTGTTCCTTCCAATTGACTGTAGAGTGCTCTAATGGGACTGTATAAATAAAAGTAATTAGTTTTTCTGCTTCATTCAAGGGACTATAAGTAAGAACAACAGGGTACACAAGTCTAACTTTTATATAGATTACTTCTTTGGAGGGTTAATAGATTTTTAAAACCTCTGATTTTGCCTCTTAAATGACAAGAAAGGACAGTAATACTTAAAATATAAGATTGCTTCAAACATTTCAGATCAGAGAGACTTGGAAAGCTGTAGAAATGATAGATTGATTTATTCTGAATAAGCAGCATCACTTGGTGTTGGATTTCTACTTTTAATTCAACATTGGAAATGATATAAGCATATTCCATACCTCTTAAGAGGAATTGTACAGGTTCCAACCATCTGCTAAATTAAACATTGATGATTACTATGAGCAGGTGGAGAAGATCTTGTACAAGGGGGACAATAACTCTGTGCATACATTTAGGCCCTAGGAACCTTCTTGAATCACAAGGGTGGATACCCAGTTAAAAGAACTGAAGGATGTGCTTTTTCAGTGGAGTGTCACTCACTGCAAAGTTCAATGGCAATGATTTACTCTGATCCTTCTATATCAGATACAGTATATTCTGTGTATAAAATACTAAAATGCTGAAAAAGGTCCAGATAGTTATGTCTTTTAAATATATGCTTTAATATGTTGGTACTTTTCTGGCAGTAATTTCCCCTGCCAGACATTTCTGTCTTGGTGATAGTTTGAAAACCAGGGGAAGGCAGTAAATCTCTTGAAGAGAGAAGTTTGGATTACTAACAAAATCTAAAGAGAACAAGACATAGCAGTATATGTGACAAAACTGGAAAAAAAATGTTGCCTTACAGTTTCTACTGCTTTTCCAACAATATGCCACTGTTTTTCATCTACTTCGCTTGTAAGGAAGAAATTCTGTCCCAGTTGAAGTTAATAATGGTTTTGTCATTGACTTGAGTGGCTAAAATTTCACAGAAAACTGCTTGGGATAAGGACTTGTTATCATTTATATGCTGGTTCCTCTGATTATTTTTCTGATCTTCTATTACACTAAAAATTATTCTAGCACATACTCTGTTCAGGAACAGAGACCTGGGGGGGTCTTTACACAAGGAATGCCCCAAGTACACTGTGTTTTTCTATTAGAGCCTACTGCCTCACTCGGGCAACGTGAAGCTGTGTTATTAAGAGCATCAAGACAGAAGCTGCTTTAAAGCACCAGTGCTGGGGCAGAGCAAGGGCTGCACTCAAACAGTGAATTGTTGTTTTAGCATACAAGGTCGCTTTAGCAAATTAAAAAAAGGATGCTTTGCAAAAGTCATTTTTTTCTTCTATGTTTGGGAAAACACAATTTGATGGAACATATATTCCCTTCAAATGCTTGGAGAGCTTCTGTTGTTAAGGCAGCTAGAGTAACCAACTGAGAATTAATTTGTTTCAGTTTGTCAAGTGCATATTTATATTTATTTCAGTACTGTACTGAATGAGTGGTAAAGCCTGATAAGAAGATGATCCCTCTGTCATGCCTATGGATAACCCCTTCTTGCCCAGTCTGCAAAAAATATTATTTTTTTGGTCATTTTCAGTCTTCTCTTATGAAGGATTTCAAATGCACTTCACAGTCCACTGAGCAAGGTTGTTTGAAAATTGATTAAAAACTGTAATTATTGTAGCAGGAACATAATCATGATTGATAGGATGGAGCCAAGTAATCAAGGAGAATGGGAGGAATCTCAGCCTAAATTTACTTTGCTCTAGCAAAATATGATTGAACAAAAAGCCATATTTTCTGAGAGTTAGATGGGGTTTTTTTACTGGTGTTTATAACACACAAAAAAAGAGAGAAAAACACAAATACAGCAGCCCTAATAAATCCCAAGCCTCTTGAAAATTATGTGGATTTCTGTTACCTGAAGTTATTATTAAAAAGGACAGATTCTAGTTGGAATAAACAAAATAATCTAGTTCTAAATATGCTATCTCACGTGGATGAGGGTAGAATGTACACTTAAACCTTATTTTTCTTTTGTAAAGTCCAGTTGTAATAATTCCTGTATGTTAATAATTGTTTTCTCTCATCACAGACTTGATGATCAACCTTTTCCTCTAAAATGCTGATGCTTATGCGGCTTGCATGTTTTTAATTTTTAATGAAAAAATTTGTACCTCACTTTATTTACCAAGAAAATCCACAAAAAACTTCACTAATGGATGTCTTTTTCTGTCCTAATTCCATTTTTTTAGAGTGATTGAATTCTCGTTAGTTCAGCTCTACCTTCAGGGACACAGCTGTGATTTGTTGCATGCTCACCTGATTTTTCTAGAAGCATCATGTCCCTCCCTGATTTTTCTAACAGCCTCATCTCCCACCTCTTTAATAGGTTCAGGTTTGTTTGCTAAGCACTTTCTGCCACAATGCTAGTAGTTCAGTTGGCATATTCCAGTTTTACAGACTAAGGCAAAACAAACAATTTGTCAACTCAGTTGAAAGATTCAGTTGAGAACTGACTGAAGCAGGAAGCTTGCTTTTTAAAAAATCATGGATCATGCTGCTTATTAGGTAGGGTTACTTTTTTAAATATAAAATGCAACATTTTAATCTTACCTAATCTTCAGTTTTAATATTGCTTATACATTGATAAACTCTACTTTTCAAAGAACTGTTGGAAGGGTTAATCATTGTTTTGCATGTAGATTACCTCTCATCTTCTCAAGCACTTAACTTACATCTGACTCTCACAGTACTGTTACCTTCCCTTCTCTTCCTTCAGTGCAGGTCTGTGCAATGACAGGAATGGGCTTTTATGAAGCTTAAAACATCAGGGTTTAACATTCTTGTGGCAGTTTAGACAAAACATGTATACTTGAAATGTGAAAGCTTCCCACTCCAAATCTCAAATCCATTAATGATGGCAACACGTTTGATTACAAACTTGCTTGCTAGATTTAGAATGGACATTTTGGTGCTTGAAGCTCACATAAGGTCTTATCTTTCAGGACCACCTTACGGAGAAATCAATGTCTGCATTTTTTTAAGCTTTACCTTTAAAACAATACCAAACAAGCACAAAACCAACAAAATCCCCACAAAATTTACAGTTAATTGCACAGTCCAAATGCGCTTTTAAACTGTTGTGCCTGCTAGAGATATTTGTCAGTTGAGGTTCAGCCGATGTCAGCAGTCACTGTGAGCATGGGCTAATTTAATTTAATTAAGAAAGAGTGCAAGAAGCTTAATTTAAGGCTAGTCACCTCACATTTGATATGTATAAACATTTATTTCATGGATGTTTACTGTATGTCAGCTGACCTACAGTAATTTGGTAATATTATTCATGCTGAAAGCGAAAATCTACTTTTTGGTGAAGCAGAAGTTAACATGATTGGAAGTGATACAGCTCGCTCCTAGGCTGACCTAGAATTATATGTGAGAGGGTTAACAAAGCAAATTGATGAGTTCATTTTGTCCAAGCTGCTTCTATAATTATACCAGATGATGTGTTTCATGCTTACAGTACATGAATGGGGACAATTATTCTACCTGAGAAGCCAGAATGATTGGATCTATTGATAGGCCCTTCATGGTCCTTAATGTAATCGATCACAGTACTCACTCCAGAATATGTAATCTCTAATCCTTTAAAAAACATAATGTTTAGGAGTGAAACAATAAAAGTTAGTTGTTTGGTTTTGGTTTTTTGCATAAAGAAGATAACTAGGAAAACCTTTAATATGAACTTCCCCATTTCAGATGAGCTTATTGAAACCCAGTGAGATCAAATAGGACATACAATAGTCTGGTAGGGAAAGCCACGAGCATAGCAGGACACTGACTGAAATACACAGATCGTTTGACACTGGTCAAAGAAGAGCGGTTCCTAATACAATACATCAGTAGGAATGGGAATAGGATACATCAAGGACGGAGAATGTCACATGAGAATGTATTACAGAAACAAAAGAAAAATGACCTTTCTACCACATCTGTTTTTCAGTCAAGTGTTGTAATAAGGATTAGATGTGTAAACTTTTTGAAAGCTAGCTGTCTATTACATGATAAATTAACCCCACATCCATTGTATCCTATTTTAATATCCACATATTACACTTTCATATCTAGAAAAATCATAGGGCCCCACTGCAGGCTCAGGTGCAAAATCAAACCCTAAAACCCCAGGTTTTTCTTGTTATTTATCATGTCATTTGTTCCTCATAAAAGATAATAATTATGAAGAGCAATAGTTAATTTTTTTTAAAGCAAGCTTAAGAAGGAAAGCATGCTAAGGAATGAGTATTAGTAAATAGGCTATGGTTTTATTTCCAAGCAAACCATAAAAAAAAAACCTCACAAACTTAGCAGCATCTGTTGTTCACTACAGATGAATCAGTGATGACAAACATATGCCAAGCTATTTGAATAGCTACAAGCTCTGTGTTTGATTCTGTACTTGCTAATCCTTGTTTCATAATGCTTGCATAGAGATGAAAAAGGAAATTACTAGTTTTAATTGCCATTTTACAGTGGGTTAGAGACACTAATTTTACTAGTCACTGCATCTTGCAACATTTAGGTTGCAAGAGAGATTCCTGTTTTTCTTGTATTTGGACTCAGGATAGTTTTGACTGAAGCTGGACATTCAGAGCTGGAATGCTTACTATCCTTGGTGCTAGCTAAATACATTCTGGAGGTGGAGCTTTACAACAAAGGCGAGTCTGTCAAAATTAACCTTAAGGGAAAGTACTCACTTCATGGTGAGAGCAGATCTGTTTTTACCCACAGGTCTATTCCTCTTGTGTGATTTAATGGTACCTGACTTCAACTCTCTATAAAAAACCACAATGGCGTACGGTTTAGAGGGGTAACACTGGATTTAATTATATTTTAAACTTGTTTGTGCTTAGAACTTTCCACATAATCAATTAAATAGTAATTTATGAAAGTTAATTCTGAACAGAGAATGGATTTTTTTTCTACTTACAGGGTTGTATCTCAGCGATAGCTCTAGCAGTGATGTTTAACAACCTCGCTTTTGTCTCCAGCTTGGAGGACACCAAGCAGGTCATTTTCAATAAGCAGGAGAGCTGAGATGAAGCACTGCTGTCCCCAGGACAAAGCGTGCAACATCCTAGTGTTTTCTAATACAGATAGGGTTTGCTTTCAAAAGAGTTAAATATTCTATATCTTTCCTAATCCTAGTTGTCCAGTATTGTCTAGTTGGGTTGTGGCACATATGAGATACCGATGCTTCATTTTTTAATGTTTAATTTAGCCTTTAACATTACTGAGAAATTTTTTCATGCTTTCTGCTTAGTGTATTATTAAACTGTTCTTGCTCCCTTGATAGATTTTTTTTTCCCAAGTGCTCTTGACTTTGACAGAATTATTCAATTGGTTGAGAGGCATCCATTTCTAAGATGTTACATTTTGAAAATATTCTCAATCTAAAATTGCTCAATAAATATGTTTCTTTAAGAAGTTTATGGTCTATTACTTTAAAATACCAAGATTACAAATCATTATGCTGTTCCATTTCATTATAGTTAATTGATTTCAAGCATTTAAGAACATGATTTACTCCTACTACTACTTCAGAAGCCTGTAACAGAAGAGTCTAAATCATTATTTTGACAGAGTAGATTTTATTCTCTCTTTGTGGGTAACCTGTCTTTGAGCTTCCACATTTAACAGTTTGATTACATCTTTCATTGTTGCTACCTTGTTTTTAAAGTGACAGACAAAGTTGAAAGAATTGCATTTCCCCAGAACAAGTGAGCTTACCTAAACAAAGACTGTCAAATGCTGACAGGAATATAAAGCAAGGGAAAGAGAGAAGGGGAAAAAATACCTGATGCACAAGTGCATAAAAGAAACAAGAAAAGTACTCCACAAATTGCAGAAACCAAAATAGTTTACTTACAGTCAGGTAGAAAAACAGCTTTATCAACTGCCGTAGCTTTCTTGTATCATTAATGGTTTTGCATAAGCAAACATATTTACCTATTCAAGTGGATGTTTCCTTGCACACCTTTGGATCACATACTACCGTGATCAGTATGATGAGGAATAGCAGTCTAAACAGAAACAGCGCTTAAGGAAGAACAGTATAAACTAGCTGATTTTGGAAAGAATTGACTGAAAATACAAGGATGCGGATGAAGTTTGACTTCTCTTTTAGTGGGATGAGGCTTACACAATGTCTGTCTGTCTATCTCACTCCTACCACCTTATGATCTTTCTTGGCCAAATTCTACCAAGAGCAATGACAACATTTAGTTGTCCTGTTAGTAGCCAGAAAATAGGCAGCTGGATACAGGAAAAAAGAGTCTACTACTGTGCTTTCCCCCATCCTCCCCCTCCCACAGTCCTTCTGGAAAAGAAATGCTGAAAGCAAATCCAGATTGGAAAGTGAGAACCTCAATGGTGGAAAACAGGAGCTCACACCTTTTCAGACATCAGGGGATCTGACCGTTAGACACAACCCAAAGGAAATCAGGCCTCATTAGTTCTGCAGCCCACGGGCCTGTTTTTGTAAAGTACAGTGGTTCAGTTGTGCTAGCAATTTATTTTTTTTTTTTTCAGTTTAAATCTAGTTGCATAGTTTTGGGGTATATGACATAAAGTATTTTGGACCCCATTTCCAACAGTGAAGGAAAATTTCACTCAGTTAAATTGTTGTGCCTTTTATATTTTTAAAACTACAATTCCCTGTATGACAAGCTGGCAGTCTGCTTATGCAGGGTGTGTTCCACAGATTTCAATGTCACATTAAAAGGTCTGATGTAAAGAAAGGTTTAAAACACCACTCACCATTTTATTAATACTGGTATATTTCCTAAAACCTTTTCCTGAGGCTATCAGAATATTTTAATGTCTCATCATTCCTGCAACATACAGAAGGGTCATAAAGTGATAGTTTTCCCATGGCAGAAATGCCTTTGAAGCAAAACAAAGCAGTATTTAACACTTCAGAGCAACTGAAGCTCAAAGGCGTTTGCAACAGTCAATGAGAAACAGTACTAAACCCAACAGCATCTGCCAGAGGAATGTAGGCCAGGAAGATGCAATTATGTGTCTAAAAATTTTGAAAGATAATGAGGTTAGTCCCCTACTCTTGTACCAAAGATCCACAAAGTTTTTAGAAACCACAGCTCAGAAAACACTCTGTCTTAATTTTTCTTTGAAAGAGAGAATCCCTGTGAAGTTTCCTGATTCATAGTGTTATGTCCAAGGCTCTGTGCAGTAGTTGCTTGCTCAGTTACCCACTTCCTGTTGCAATATGGGATTCCTGGAGATCAAGGGAGGTCATGAGATCAATGTAAAATGCTATAACAAAATTCTTCCAATAAATTAAACTGTATTTTGAGGCTAACATCAAGGAACAAATTGTCAAAAGCAGTGAACTAGGAACTGGCCACCCAGTAATAGAGTATTTTGACATTCTATCTTCCATCTTAATGTATCCAGAATTATTTAGAATCATAGCAAGCAGGGATCTCCTTATTTTATGCAACTGCTTGGGAGGTGCAAATGTATAGACACAATGGGAGCATGCACCCTTGCTATTTAATATTATATTTATTACATATAGCTTTAAGCATTGGTAATACTACTGTGTTATGTGTGATTTTATTTTTTTTAATATAACTTCGTTTACAATTGTATCTGAATATGTTCTGGAAGTTCATAAACTGCAGGCTGAAAAACTGACCTGTAGTTCATTTTTATTTTCTTCCTAAGAGATAAGAGAGTATGAATATATGTGAATGACTTAAATTTATAATTAAAGTCTGCTTTATAGTTTTCGTTCTAATAAGGTTTTTTAATGTTATAATTAACACAGATGTCCTATTGTTTGCTAGTGCTGGACATCTTTGGCACAAAAAGATGTAAAATAGCGTCTTATACTCCGGGTAGAAGCCAGTGAGGGCCTTAGCTCATATGGAAATCTGTTAAATAATTTCAGACCAGCCAGTGTAAAAATCATATCTCATGGTTGTGTAAGATTCATCCTGACTTTGAAGTGCTCTGTTGTGCCAGAAGAGCAAAACTGTATATCATGATTTTTATTAAGGGGTTTACATAAACATTTTGTATGCTAGACACAGATTTCTGAAAACTTATGAATATTGGCTGCTCTGACCTGAAACCTGACATTTTCCACTGAAGAAAGCCAAGGATAACTTAGATATGCTTTTGCTACTCTGTAGTTCTTAGAAGATGATGCATGTTCAGCATTAGTAAACATTTCCGTAAGGGTTGGTGATACCACCAACAGAAGGACAAAGGAACATTATGTTGCTGTTCAGACGTGGTGTGATAGCAGCATGTGGCAATCAGTCTTTTTGATAACATAAAGATCATTGACTTTTTCTGCAGTTTGGGAGCTGGAAAAAATGCACTGCTTTTGTTAGATATCTTGTCTTATCATGGGTCTGATTTGTGATACACTCAGTTCTGACTACTACTTCCAGATCAAACCTGGGCTGTGGTAGTCTGTGCATACAGTGAGTTAAAAATTGAAGTTAATTCCATTTGTAAGTGAAATTCAGTAAGATGAGACATGCTTTAGTAAAGCTAATATTGAGCCTTTGTCAGTCGCTGGTAATTTCTTACTTGTGTGTGCTATGTAATCGAATGAGTGTTCAGCTTATGGTCTGATTACTTAGTGGAGTCTTTTCAGCAAGAAAAGAGATGGAAGCCCTGCTGACCACCAGCACTTAGTTTTGGGGCCTTAGGAGATCACACATAAATACTTTTAATGGCTTTAATGTGTTTTCATTAGGGAGCATCAAAACCAGCCTAAGCAGGATGAGCCAGAGAAAGCAGCCGAGGCTTTGTCTGCACAGACGGGTGCAGACTGTCACACGTTTGATCTGCTTGCACACTGAGCTGTCTGAATGGAAGCCAGATCTGGCCTGGAAACCATAAAGACATGTTAATGCATTGCCACGCTGGAGCTCATAAGCCTTACCAATGCTAGGGCTACTTTTGTTTCAATAACCTCTCTATAACTGTTTTTTTTTTGAAGTTACTCCCATGGTTTGTTCCAACTACTAAATAAAATACTCCGTTTTAACAGGACCACAAATCACATTCTCGAAGAAAGCAAGCATGAAATATTTTAAATGCTGCTGGACCTGCAAGCTGATTTGTAGTTATTATTTGAAAATTTTTATCTGTTTCTGACTCTGCAGGTGAGAAAACCAAAATTTAACACAAGACCCAGGTCTGATAAAAGCATACAAAAGTGAGATAAACCTAGCAACTATGACACTAGCTGTTTACTATGTTCTAGTAAACAGCTAGTGATCATAGATAGTTTTCTGTTTGAAGTATCTGGACGGATTTTGTGACATAGCTGCAGGCTCTAATTTAGTGCTCTAGATTAATAGCAGGCATAACTTGGAGCAGCCACCCATTGTCCAAAAATTCTGTACCCTGCCACAGTGATTCCTCAGTGTTCCCCTGTGCCCAGGGTAGAGATGGCAGGGAGGGAAGACACTGAGCATAGAAGCTTGAGGTTTCTTCATAAGGAGGCAATGTTAAGTTTCATTAAAAAAAAAAAAAAAAAAGACAAAAAAGAAGACAAAAAAGAAAACAAAAGAAAAAATTGACATAAAAAGGCAGGGAGGATGACAGAGTGTGTTTTATGAAAACAGCGAGGAAAAAAGATGTGAACTAAAAGAATACAATGATATTGTCATAACAACCACAGGCCTCCCTTCTGGAAAGGACAGGGAGTAATTTGCAGGAGCTAAACTCAGTGTTCTGCAAACTCAGTCTCCAACTATCATTAATAATCTTGAGAAATGAGTCTGGAAGATAGAAATTAAGCTGGCAGTATTTCAGAGGCATAGTCGGCATCGCCTGTCATCCCATTGAGAGACATACCCTGTTAGGGCCTGCTAATGTTGCACTCCTGTCAGAGTAACATAAAACATTACATGTTAAACAAGTGGCAGACAAGATAGTGTGGAGGCAAATTGTTCAGCAGATGGCACAGCCTACTTTACTTACCATCTGAAGTTAGAAAATAGAGCAAATGCCATTTTTTGCATTCACTCATTCTTTCCAAATACTTGTCTGGGTACTGCTCAGCAGCTTCCTTTGTTGGGGCTATTGAGACAAGAGGAACTTCACAGTATGATTGTGAGATATGTCAAGTAGAACACTCATTGTGTACATACAATTTGAGCTGAAATTTCAGGAGAATTGGGTATAAGTTTCTGAGTGAATGCTTTGAGAGTGTTATATCGCCAGATATCTACTTTAAGCTGTGAGTTTCCTGTAGCTTACCGTGTTTCCTTTCTTCTTAAAGCCTCACAATTTTTAGACATACTAGACTTACACCCTCCTATATTCCTAATTCTTGAAGGAGAAAAATTTTCTTTGGGAGCAATGAAAATAACAGTCGAGCAGCAGGATAACTTTTTCTCTCTTAGTATTCAATTTCCATCCTTCTGCAGTAAATTATGGTGTGGTCATTGATTTTGGTGGTGTTGGACTGTGCTCTTACAAACCAATTAACTGACCTATTAGGAAAAAAGTAAGAGTCATAAGCCATCAGTCTGGGACAAACTGAACAGAGTAACAATTTCAACCTAGACGGGTCTTCATATTGAGCACCCTCTAGATACTCCTGGTTCAGTTTCCTGGTTAGATTGGCTTTCTTCCTCTAGCCCAAGAAAGGGACAGTGAAAAATAGGCTATTGCTGTGTAAAGTGACAGACAAGGGAAAACACCATCATTTGTTAACTTAGCAAGAGTGTGTGCTCTTCACACACAGAGGAGATACAATCTCTTCTCTGAGGAGTTTACAGGCTAGCTAGAACAGACAGCGGTGTTCAGATAGCTGTTGGTCATTCAGAAGAAATCTCAGTCAATGGTTTGAGAAGACTTAGAAAGGAATAGTGGAACCAGTAGCAAATTCTAATCCTTTAAAGCAGAGAAAAAAGGAAAATCTTGCTTTCACATGTAGAGATGATTTTTTTTAGAAAACTTTGTTATATGCATACCAAAATCATGATTAAACAGGCACAGGCATAAAACTCACTACTGTAATAAGCTTCATTTCAGTGTTTTCTTGAAGAACAAGGTAATATTGACTTTTTAACTGAAACTTTAAATAGTTGACCACAAAATAAAATTATTTCTTGCCACCCATGGAAATACAGCTGTTGAGGGATAATCATGTCTTCCCTTCTTTTATGTCCAAGATATAGGAGTTCCCTTTTCCTGTGATATAGTGAATATTTTATTATTTAGCTTGCATTTCTAACTCATTACCGACAGCGTCTCTTGAAAAAAATAAAATTATGAGAAACCAATGAGAATTGTTACTTAAATTAATATAATTTCTATAACTTTGACAATCGATTTGGCAGATGGATTCTGTTTGCCAGTCTGATCTCTTGCATACTCCAACTGGTAGGTCCAGTGTATTTCAGGTGTAAGTTTGTGCTTGTTACTTAAAATATGTACTAACTTGGTATAAAAATCTGAGCCTATTTCTTAGCATCAGTGGGCAGTTTATGGAGTTGAAAAATTCTCATCCTTTTGATATTTTACTGTGATTATATGAGTGTGTGTATGTGTGCAAGAAAAGGACACAATTGTGAAAATCCTTTTATGGTAGAAATGGGCTCGATTTTGGAAACATCTTGCAAAAATATTTTCTTCAAACTTGGGAAGCTTCTTCAGTATCATTCGTGGCTTATAAAGCATAGGTATGAAATAATGCTTTTAACATTTTCAGGGATATAATATACCATTAAAGTCGTAGGTTGATTTTCAGTGGTGACATAACACTTCTAATGCACAATAAATCTACTTAACAATGCTGTCGTGTGTTTCAGTTATTCTCAGCAGTCCACAAACTCTTCGAGTATTTCATGTGCAGAAGTTCAATTTGAAACATGATGATTTCTCTATTTTATTTCCTCGTGATAATCATCAGAAATGTACCCAAATGCAGATTTATTTCATAGATTTTTTACGCTACTGGGCCAAATATTGCTCTCATCTTAACAAATTATTTAATATAGACATTTATGTTGAAGCCAAGGAATCCCTTAAAGATGGGAGCTTTCACTGTGTAAATATTAAAAATTCTGCATCAATGTAAACAAAATCTCCTTTTCCTTTTACTGCCAAGAAAATTCATACACCAATTTGACAAATCTGTTTTAATGAAAAGTTGTAATACAAGTACTTTCTACCTATGGCTGCTGATAGAGCAGTGATTTCTGTCTATCCTCTTTACTAGTCTTGACATTCAGTTCCAACTCATTATAAAACTTTATTTGTCCCTCCGACGTGTCTGTTAATAATCAACTGCTGTTTCATTGTTAATATGTTTCTGGATAACATGAAATATATGAAAAGAAAGACAAATGGCAGTTGTAATTATTTTATAGTTTAGAGGAAACAGCCTGAAATTGTTATAGCTATTTTTACATGGGAAAAATTTGGAGAAGGATATTCACTAAGGGTGATATAAAACTCACTACTCTCTTGCTACAATTTAATTGGGCAAGATAGACCTGATGTAGCTCTTCTAAATGGCCATCCACCTTTATGAATTGAATATACAGGGAGAGATTAGCCTTATTAGCATAATGTTGGCCTTTATGAACAACCCTCATACAGATAATAGGAATGAAAGAGAAATAAAGTACTATTATATGTGTAAGCCTCTTCAGAAAAGGTTTTAAATAGATGCTGGTTTCCAAACTATTACAAAATCTTTACATCCAGCAAGACCAATTCCATGGCAGACAT